TGATCGGCAAGCACATATGGAAGACAAATTGTGGGACCAAGCAAATGACACATGTTTTACGATGATTAGACACATCACACCGCTGGCTAGAAAAATTAAATAGTGTAACATGGACGTTGGTATTGACTGCCTATTTACGGTGTAACGTTATCGCCATCTTGGAGTTGTAAGGCTTCGTCCTGACGACTATGCTCATTAGCATAGGCGGCAACTTCAAAGCGAGTGGAACGCGAAGTACTTTTTACGCGTTCTGCAACGAATGTTGTACGTCAGCTTTGACTTTGTTGAGTGCATCAGGAAAATAATTTGCATGCAGTGACAAAAAAATCATTCACGATGTGCAACGTTTTGCCATGACAGCAGTTGTTTGCAATCGTCTGCCTTCGTTTAGACATAGACCTTTGTAGAGGGTCTATGGTTTAGAACATAAACGGACTCCAAACTTGTGATCTACGATCGATTAGCTGGTATTTTAACCAGAAATGAAATACTTTGTAATAGTTGTGAAAAGTAAACAAAAACGGCGTTGGTTTGTGGTATGAATGGAATTATTTTTAATTTTCGAAGTCAGTATTACTGAAAATTATGGTTTATTTTTTTTAAATGAACGCCAAATTTCGGTGGTCCATATTGATCTTAAGGTAGCGGGAAGGGACATTTTATTTGTTATCTTGATTTTTTAATAATTGATAAAACGGTTACTTTGTACCTTGATTCATCATCCCAGCTTTTCGAAATTACGGAAAGACCAGCGCTCAAACGCTAACACTACTACCGTTTCATTAATATTTGCATATCGTTTCTAACATGTACATGTATATGTATACTACCGGTAATACTCTGTTGTTGACAATTCTGATAGAACGGCCGACAAGCTTCCTGTCGCAAACAATGCATATTAATCTAACGTCCATTGTCAGCATTATTATCAGTCAAGACTTCGTCTGAGAAATCATTTTATTTTCTAAGTCTATATTCTATTTTAATAACACCATCTTACTAACGCAATGACGATGTAAAGAAAGAAAGCAAAGACGCCAATGACAAGACGAGGCAAAGAAAAATCTGCAACTCAGGGTCATATTTACTAATTTAGACTTGCCTACAGTCTGTTGTGATTTCGATATAAAATACAGGACTTTCGTGTTCACCCCTCGTTTACGCAATTTATATTTATTTTTCAAGAATTTTTCATCTAGGTCATATTATGACCAACCTCGCGAGTGGTTCGAAAAGGATGATTAGGCTGAAATATTTGCATCAACGCGAAAAAGTTTCAACTACTTAACCGATGACGACACCGATACGTGAGACCGTTGATCAGACGACGAAGTGAGTACAGTAATTCTGTTGCTCGTCGACATCGGCCAAATAAACATCGTTTCGTTTATGCAGAGAGCTTGCACCCATCTAATTTTCCGTTGACACTGCCGTTTTAGTTTTCTATTTTCAGCAGTAGTTTCAATCCATTCACATAGCTTTACGTTTTTGTTTTCTTAATATTCTCAATAAAACGATATTGATTGCCTAGAAACTGTTTCACCCGCTACACGCGTTATTTGGGAATTCAAAGGGATGAATATAGTAATAACAAATTATACTTGCTAATGAAAAATAACGTAACATCGTGTGAAACGTACTTCGCGCTCTACTCGCTTTAAAACTGCCGCCTATGCTAATGAGCATTGTTGCGGACGAAGCCTTACAACTTCAAGACGGCGTTAATGTTACCAGCTTCCTGATGTTACACCATAATAAGGCAGCCAACACCAACGTGCATGTGTTTTGTACCCTTTCATGTTATGTTATATATGTTAATTAATCAATGTTAAATACTTGCTGATTACCGAACCGTGCGGCATGTCGGCAGTAAATACTTGTTTACCGTAGTTCGCGAGCAGTTGGCGAAATAATCATTTAAAACTAAACATTTCTATAAGGCATGCTGTGTACCCTTACATCGATCGACCATTGAGATTCGCGCTTTTTGACCAACCAACCAATGGGAATCGTGCTCTTCGCAGAGTGACACTGCGATCCTGTCGCAGAGTGCAATAATCAACATTCGGCGAGTCACACACACGCGTTGCAGAGTTAGTTTTAAGACCCCCATACATATATCAGGTAATTCATTATAAAGCTGTTTGTTATAACAAGGTTATAGTGAACTACACACCCTTTTATTTAATCATTTTGGTTTCAATTTTAATATTTGGTAGTTGTTTTTGCTACCTGACATGCCTGGGAAAGACTGATTTAAGTTTTGAATAAATCTGGTACCTGTTTACCATCAACATTTTTGAAAAAATATAGAAAAAAATGTCCATGTTTATTTTGCAAAGGGTAAAAGAAGTTGACTTTGGCATTCAAACCATTAAGGTCAAAAGGTTAAACATATGCGCGTACATACCTGAATCTGGGAATGGATGGACATAACCAAGATTAAGAATATCAAACTGAGGGAAATCAACATCAGCTAGTTTAAGTGCTGTGAACAAGCTGTCTTTGGTAAGAGACGGCTGCACAGCTAGCTGTTCCAACCACGACGCTGAGCTGACAACAAGATAACCCAGGTCAATTTCTAAACAATTCTTGCAAGCACCCAAAACAATCTTTCTCAATTTCCGGAAACCTTCAATCTTCCAGGCATCCTCAACAACATGCTGGAAGAGTCCACCAAGGAAAGGTACCCGGATCAACTCCAATCTTTTAAGTCTGCGCGAAGCAGCTAATCCAGTGACAAGAGGGACATATTTCAAGGCACTTGTTGGGCCGGCACAGTTGCGCATAATAAAGGTATGTAGTCGTCGGCTGCCAAAATCGGAAAACGGTTGTGGATTCGTTAGCTTCACCCACTCCAAAATGACTTCTTCAAGGCATACAATCTGTGGTAGTTCGGGAAGCGTCACACCAGTCAGATGAAGACTGCGGATTTTAGCCAGCTTTGGAATTGTCAACTGTTTTTGCGGATTTGGCGGAAATGTTCCATTTCTATTGTAGAACTTGCCAAGAATTTCCACAAGAGGAAGATAAGCAAGAATTGACTCTAGTAACTGTACATGGCATGTCTGTACACCAAGCAACTTAGGACAGGCTTGTAAAGCTTCTACTATTCCTGGTATGCTACATCCACGATCGCTGCCTCGCGTCCAACGACGAGACAATTCGCAAGGATTCAGGCCAAAAACATACTGCAAATCAGGGGATCGGAGAAGAAGATGTTTGAATGATTCATCATTGAAGCCATCAGGCATATATGCATAATATTTGCCTTCAGAGAAGTCTATCCACTTTCTAATCTGTATATGCATGACACAGCATGTTGTAATTTACTATTCAGTGATTCTAAACGCATAAAACATCGTAGCGGCAAATATGTCATGATCTTGACGAGTAACTCCAGCGACAGATTACTCAAATAGTCTTTTGGTTCCATGTTATCGTCTTCTGTAAGTGCCATTTTGTTGGTTGCTGTGACTGCCATGTTGTGGGGTGTGTTTTCTGGAGATGACTTCTTTGTTTTGCTAATTTTTCTTCTCCGTCCCATTATTGTCTTTAAAAAACTGAAATATAAATTGTACAACATTGATAAAGTTAGAGACAGATTCAGATTTGATTAATTTTTAAGTTTGGGTTTGATTTATGAAAAATTATTACATTTGTATATCAGTATATGTATTTACCAGTAATTATTCAATGTTTTCATGAAATGCTACAGTCATGATATTGTTTTTAATGCAATCATTACATAATTTTAGTATTTTTGAATAAAATAACCAACAAATGACTGATGACAAGTACCAGTAAATGTCTTTGATGTTCACATAGCTATGACATGTGATATAAAAATCCAAAATGCGATTTTTTCAACATTTCCATATTTTTTTCAATATCTTTAGACTGCGTTTGGTACAAAATTTAGAAATAAATTTTAGAAACGTACATGAAATTGTGCATTTTTCTGCCTTTTGTGCAGAGGTTTCACTCTAATGAGTGTTTAATAAACATATATTAGATAGGTGATACTGTCAACCTTTCTTTTTTTATTACTAGAAATGTTATATCAAGATTTTACGGCATTCGTGAAGACAACATTTTGCAAAAGACACTGACATTCTGTGTCGTAAACTCCAAATAAATAATCAGTGTTACAAAATTTTATGATTTTTACTGACTTGTGGTTAAAATAAAGTGGTTACAATATTTTAAAAGTGTGCCTTTTTTTAGAAAATAGTGTTCTTTGATTGACTTTTATTTGGAATACACTTTTGCATTGAACGTATGTGTCCACAAGTCTATGTCTATGAGAGAAACTATAAAGCTGTTCAGTGTTGATAAAATTCTAATATCTTAAAATAAAAAAATTAAGGACATACCGGTACTTAAAATAACTAAAACATCATCACAAAGACTCAATGGTGATACAAGATGAACTATGAACCCACTGCTATATATATGTATATATTTGATTATCCAACCCCCATAACATCCAACTTGTCATCCATTTACCAGTTTTTCGTTTCCCAAATAATAGGAATTAAATAAGTATTGTGTGCCAGTTTTGTGTACTACCCCACAAAATCCCGGGCTAGTGCAGGGGGCGGTGTGTGAACTAAACCATCAAACTCGAGTGCAACTTATAACCACGAAATCCATACCGGTTAGAAAGGTAACAACCAGGAGACATATTACCGGTACAACTTTTACGATTTCCCACTCACTAAATTAGGAATGACAAATGAAATAAGTGTACGCCATGCCATGGTCGTTGAGTGCAACTACATACTGTACAGAGGTTATAATAAATCATAAATTAACTTTGTTGCTTCTTCGCCAAATCTGTAAAAATCAGATATTTTCAACACATTCGAATATACCGGTCAGCTCACACGATGCCTCACCTAAACACCAAGAAAGTCGCACAATTCACTTGTGCGTTCTGGCGACAATAAACCTTACGACGTCTTCTTTCCTTTTCAAGGGTCACTTCAGCGCCATCAGCGCCATGTTGAATGTTGGGACCTTTGACCTCAATAAAGCCCCCCAGACTGATATATATGTCTAAAGAGAAAATAAATACTGAGTTAAAGGGTTGCTTCGGGTATTACACCCTATCTCTTGGCTGGTTCCCGCCTCAAGTGTCATGGCGTACCAAGCCACAAGAGGCCGGTAACTAGTAACGGTTCTGGCATTCTGATTGGTACATCACTTTCTCGTTGCTTGTTCCATTTTCCTTAGTTACCTGACGTCAGCGCTTACGCTCGTGGCCGTTCAGGGGTTTTCTTTTGCTTTCGAAAGTTGGGCGAATAAAAAGAATTGTTTCTTTTGTTATAAATTTGCACAGAACATATCAAATCTGTAAATCAAGCAGGCAGTATGTATGAGCATGGCTTTATTGTAGCATTACAGACACGTTTACGCAAAACGGAACTTGGAATGTTTTCAAATTACGTCACCCAGTCGCGTTCCTTCCGGCCGGAAAACCGGCCCAAATGGAACAATATGGCGATTACTCGATACCTGCGTCCTACCTGCCATTCGCAAAGGACGCCGGGAACCAGCGAAACCCTATCTCAGGCTACCGGTAGTAATAGTCTGAGACCATTGACGCTGCAGGTCGGCGTCTTCTACACCGATCTGACGCATATCGAGCAAGGTGTGCCGGGAGTTTGTTCGAAACTACGAACGTTTCGAAGTCATTCGTCGGTTGGCACGTATTTTACAGATATATTAAATCGTTTCACGGGCCTGTTTACTAAATAATGATAAATGAAACTTAGAAAACTTGTAAGTACAAACTGGGCCCAATTGCGCAAATTTGCAATAAGTTT